CCCCCTTGCCCACCCCCCGGCCACGCGTCAGAGGGCGAGCCTGCCCAGCGCCGTCCTGCCAGCCGGCCGTCGGCAGCACCCGCCGCGGCGGCTGAGGGGCGCCCGGCGCACCCCTGCACCCCCGGCACTCCCCTGCAAGTCCTCACGTACTGCTGCAGCCAGCCGGCCCGCCGCAAAATGTCACCCCGCTGTCCCGATGTCCACCCACCCGTCCCTCCAACTGTCCATCTGTCCGTATGTCCTTCCTCCATCCATCCATCCACCCATCCATCCATCCACCCATCCCTCCAGCCTTCCCTCCCTCCACCCTTCCATCTGTCTGTCCATCCTTCCATCTGTCTGTCCATCCTTCCATCTTTCTGTCCATCCTTCCATCTGTCTGTCCATCCTTCCATCTTTCTGTCCATCCTTCCATTCCTTCCATCATCCTTCCAGACATCCCACCATCCCTCCATCCCTCCATACGTGCACCCATCTTTCCCTCCCTCCCAAGACCTCTGTCCGTCCGCCCGTCTGTCCACCCACCCACCCATCCCTCCATCCATCCATCCTTCCACATACTCCATCCCCACCTCCCTTCCCAAACCTCCCATACACACCCAAATTTTCCCTCCACCCATCTTTTCCACCCCTTTTCCTCTGCCCTCCCTCCTCCCTCCGTCCCCTCCCCAACCCAGGAGGGTCACACAGGGGCGCGGGGACAACCGGACCCTCGGGGGTCCCACACCCCAACTCTTCCCAAGCCTTTCACCCCTTGGCCAGCTGAAGGCGCTTGAACCTCTGGAAACACAGGAGAGGAAAAAAACAAACAAACTCTCTCCTTCCGTTTCACACAATTTTCTCTCTTTTAAACCCCCCCCTCGTTATTTATTGTCTGCGCTCTGCTCCCCCAACGCCCCCAGCCCTTGCCGCAACCACCTGAAGCTTTTTCTTCTCCTAACACAGGGAGAATCGGCCCCCCAAGGGGTGTCAGGGGCCAAATTTTAGGTGGGTCGCCCAGGGCTTGGCGTTGTGGGGACACACCGGGGCAGGGACCGCCCGAAATGACCCCCCCGCCATCGCCTTCTCCGAAAGCCGACAGCTCTCACCCCTTAGTTATTTTCTCGGCTATTTCTGATCTGTGAGGCCTGTCGAAAGCTCCTCTGCGCGGCGAGGAAGCGCGGCTTCGGCAAATCCACGTTTTCCCAGCACAAATCGGAGCCGGACCCCCCCTCCCCACCACGGCGTGGGGATGCGGGGTCCCCCCTCCGTTTGCTTTGGGGTGGGACGTGTGAAGGCAGCCCAGAGCCGGGCTGTAAACAAGGAGGACACTTCAAAGGGGACGCCCGGGGACATCGGCCGGGCTTAGCACAACACCAAATTATTTCAGCACCCCCGGGGCAGGATGCGGCGGGGGCTGAACCTCCTGCTTGGCCGTTTGGTAGCTTGAAAAAGCAGCT